CTTGCATGATATTTTGTAGCAAACTATATTTGGGACCTCTCATTACATGTCCGAAATATTCCAGCTTACTCTGCTTGATACTTTTTATGATCTCAGTAGTCTTGCTGAGACGTTCTAGTACTGTGGAGTTTCGAATCTTCTCCACCCAGGAAACTTTTAAAATTCTTCTATAGCACCACATTTTGAAAGCCTCAAGGCGATTTAGATCGATTTTATTCACAGTCCAGGACTCGACACCATAAAGTAAGACCGAGAGTACGTAGCAGCGAAGTAGGCGGATCCTCAATGCCAATTTTAGGTCTCTGTCACATAACACCTTGGACATCCTTCTAAAAGCAGCTCTAGCCTGTTCTATCCTAGATCTAATTTCGCCGTGATTTTCTGCGTTACAATTTAAATGCTGTCCAAGATAAACAATTTTATCAACTTGCTCAAGTTTGGTATTATTTACATATATAGACGGTTTTATATGCTGTTGTTTACTTATTACGAGTATTTTGGTTTTCCGTATGTTAAGATCCAGACCTGCCTCCCTACAACTCTCAACGACACTATCAAGTAGATCTTCTTGCCTAGAAGCTAGGAGTACTGTATCGTCCGCATATCGCAAATTATTGATGACTTCGCCGTTCACAAGTATTCCTTCTTGTTTTTCAGAAAGTGCTTTTCTGAAAAATTCTTTCGGAGTAAACGTTAAAAAGCAGAGGTGACAAGAGGCATCCCTGCCGTACTCCTCTTTTAATATTGAGAGCCTGTGATTCCACACCATCTACTAAAACTGATGTTGTTTGATTTGATGTTTGTTCTGCCGCGTATGTCATTATTGGTCTGATGACTGTTTTGTAAATTCTGCCTTTCGTACAAGTGCAGTATTTATAATGGGTACTCCTCTAGGCCTATTGCTATCAACTATTTTTATGGATCATCTAGAAACAAAGATTTCAAAACATCCCGTATTCAAACAGTTTTTATATTGGTGGACATACTCAGATGAAATACTGGTATGTTTTACAGGAACTAACGTATATTAACTCATTTCATAAATTTTCTAGATTTAACAATTAATAGACTTAAAACAAACATGAGTTCTCCATATTTCATAAACCAAATCAATTTAAATCAAAAATTACATAAGAAAGCTATGAGATTAGTATTTCTATCACCAAAGAAAAACCCAATATCTTCTGCTCGATTACATATACAGGTAAGATATCAACAAAAATAGCCAAACAAATTAAAAAGAAAGGAATAACAGCAGCTTTTAGAACAAACAACAACTTAAGCAAATATATTAAGAACAACAAGACCCAAAAGCAACAATAACAATTAAAAGTAGGATCAGTTGTCATTATGATGGGTAACATTAATCAACCTTGACTGTGCAATGGAACAATACTGACTGTGAAAAGGCTAATGCGTAATGTCAGGTAATGTTGTGCGACAACGATCATCAAGTAAAAATAAAAAGGAAAGGAAGTCTTGATCCTGCGTATAATGATGATTTTAACGAACGTACTAGTGATGTAACGAATGTCATTTTTTGAACATTCGCGAATGCGAATATATGCCAACGACATTCGCCAATGTGAATGCGAATATTCAGTTTTTTTTTAATTTGGCAATTTTAATTGTCTCCGGCACTGCCGGCTGTCTCATTTGCGCGAGGTGTGTAGTAGATAAGTTTAGATAAATTTAGTAATTCAGCAATTTTGCAGAAAATATTGCTCACAGACTCAAAGACATCTTGTCGCTTTGGAAATACCCAAAGAAAAAGTGAAATGTGTAGTTCGCGATGCAGGTGCTAATATGAAAAAAGGTTTTAGTCCAGGCTATGAGGCCGCTCCCGTTGGGAAAATGTTTCTGATTCGGTTTCTTCGCGGATTCCGGTTCAAAAATGTCCCCTTTAAACAAATCTGAAGGGTGCCGGGCGAAATTTTTGGGCAGAAATTGTTTAAAACAATATTTTTAAACAAAGTTCAAAAATAATTTTTTTTAATCTGGAAAACGTTTTTTTAGGTTTTTTGGGCCATTTTAAACAAAAAAAGTCTCTTGTCATTTTTCTCTAAAGTTGATAGTTGTCGAGTTATAAGCGATTTAAAGTCTGAAAAACGCGAAAATATGCATTTTTGAGGCTTGAAAACACATATGTAAATTATTATTTTTGAGGTTACCAAGTGTCTAAATTAAAGTTTAAACATTCAACTTAAAGATTGTGAAGAGTAATCGGGGCTTATTTTAATTTAGACCGTTGTTTTTTTATTGTTAAGTATGCGCGTACACTCGATTTTTCAGCCGCCGCGGCGCCGCGCGCTACCGTGCGCCTCTATTGTACTTATGCATAGTTTTCATATACTTACAAATAATTATTATTTATTGAGTATATATTTATTTATATCAATTGAGTTATAATATAAATTTCGTCTAAAGTCTAATAATAGTTACATAAAATAATTGTACAAAAGATTGTTAAATAACACACGAATATCACTCAGTAAAAGTATCTTTGTTTTCACAAAAATCTAAATCACATCCACATAATGGTACACAGTTGACATGATTTTTCTTGCAGTTGCAAGCATTAGTTTTGCAAGTATTTTTGCGTTTGCACGGTTTCCCAACCCACCACTATCACACATATCCATATCCATATTGTGTAAAATCGAGAGTTTGATAGCGGGAATATATGACATTTCGCCAAATATATGTTTTGGCGAAAGCTCTTAACAAGTGTTGGTAAAGTGCGTCAGAGGTACAAGGTATATTGGCTAGATTAAATTAAATTTTTCAGTCACACTGTCTTTTCGTCGAAGAGCAGCATTTTGTATTGTTATGTAAAAATCTACTTTAGGTTTTTGCACTAACTTAATATTGTTGATGTTATTACAAAAAATACAAACTAAATTTTCTTCGGTAAGTTTTCATTTAAGAAGAGGTACGGAAAAAGACATTTTAAATCCATTCACAATTTTTTTAATAACACATTAATAATATAATACCCTTTTAATGGGCATTAAACAATAGTCTTTCTAATGATCGTTTAAGTAATAACAAATCAAGTATGAGCGCGCGATTGTTAAACAGGTACAAACTTGCATTTTTGCGATAGTATATTGTTTTTAAACACCGCGCAATTTAAAATTAAGTTTACTAATATTAATATTTACTGCATTGTATTATTTAAATAATAATTTAAAAATATTATTTACAATTGATATAAATAAATATATACTCAATAAATAATAATTATATTGTTCAAATTTGGAAGAAAAAAAAACTATATACGGTTATTACATTGCGATGATTGATTTATTTAATTAGCCCAATGACAATAATTAATACCTACATAAATAAATTATGGAAAAAACTATGTTAATAAACTTCAAGGATTTGTTCGGGTTTTTTTGCGTAAGTGTATATGTAAACTATGCATAAGTACGATAGAAGCGCATTCTAGCGCGCCGCGCCGCGGCGGCTGAAAAATCGAGTGTACGCGCATATTTAACAATTAAAAAACAACGGTCTAAATTAAAATAAACCCCGATTACTCTTCACAATCTTGAAGTTGAATGTTTAAACTTCAATTTAGACACTTGGTAACCTCAAAAATAATAATTTACATATGTGTTTTCAAGCCTCAAAAATGCGTATTTTCGCGTTTTTTCAGACTTTAAATCGCTTATAACTCGAAAACTATCAACTTTAGAGAAAAATGACAAGAGACCTTTTTTATTTAAAATGACCCAAAAAATCTAAAAAAACGTTTTCCAGATTAAAAAAAAATATTTTTGGAATTTGTTTAAAAAAAATTGTTTAAACAGTTTCTGTCCAAAAATTTCGCCCGGCACCCTTCAGATTTGTTTAAAGGGGACATTTTTGAACCGGAATCCGCGAAGAAACCGAATCAGAAACATTTTCCCAACGGGAGCAGCCTCACAGCCTGGACTATTTTAACTTATTAAATGTTGAACATATTCACTGCGTTTCTCATAAGATTCAAAACGTGTTAAAAGTTAAAAGCAGGGATAAAAGCTCAAAAATCTGTCATGGCTGTCATAAGAAAATGCAAAAAAGATGGCAATTCATTTTCATCATTCGATTGCTACCCAAGATGAGCTGACCAATATACAAAAAAGGCTTAATCAAAAACTTCTTAAGATTATCCAAGAATGTGCTACTAGATGGAACAACTTTGTTTACATTGCATCATTTATTTTTATTTTCTAATTTTATATTTTTCTAAGCTAGTAAATTAAAGTGAGTTTACTTAATACAAAAACTGAGAAGTGAATGGATTTTTATTTTATAAACCTTATCTTCAAATTATTTTTTTCTTATATTCATATTCGCAAAACATTCGCACAAATTTCGCGAATGCGAGTATGCAAAAATATGCGAATGAATACGAATGCGAATATTGGTTACATCACTAGAACGTACCATTTGATTTTAAATTTCCCGTGCTTTTGGCTTCTGCAATGACAATAAACAAATCACAAAGCCCACCGTTGGAAGTTTGCGCAATTAACAGATGTTTCGTGCATAAGTAATTATTCGCGTGCCGGAAAACCGTCATCGTTGTATATTTATTTAACGCAAAAAAATAAAAATACTTTTATCAGAAAGTATTACATTTAGTCAATTTTTTAGACACATTATTTAATTCTAAGGCGGTATGAAGTTCACCGGGTCAGCTAGTGTATAAAAAATACGATAAGTTCATATAATCTTTTATTTGTCCCTGCCACTTCTTATTGTTCAGATTTGCATTTAAGATTCGACGTACCTACACCTGAGACAGGGCTAGTCGAAGCATCAACAATAAAGTTGTCATCTATAGTGTCGTTTTATAGTTACACGACTGAGGTGTCATTTAATTATCGAACAATTAGCATCCAATAATATAGATAATGACTTCACTGTTAAGCTTTCTAATACACACACTCTGGTTTCAATTTTAAACCCCAATGCACATTGTACTAAATTAGAAAAAAATTACTTACCCATCTGAACTTGGAGTAACAATCTTCTTGACTAATTTTCTCCTTACGGGCTGAGGAACTGGGTTTTCAGATTGCTTGGAAGTACCCGGCAAAGTCGTCTTCTCTTGTGCATCTTTGTTCCTTTTGCGTATTACGGTCCTTTTTTCGCGTGCATTTCTAACAATTCGTTTATTTTGCCCCATCTTTTTCCTAAAAGGTAACTCTTGTTGGATGAATCGTCCCCTAAAACTTCTTAAGCACATATTTTGTTTCATCTTGTTTATCTTGTTCATCTTGGGTTTTAAGGTAGTTTTCAAAGTGGTTACTTTTATATGTTTGGTAGCTACCACTTTGGTTTTCTGAAGCGTACTATTCTTCTTTGTGATAGTTTCTGTTTTTGATACGGTATTTGTTCTGACCAAGGTTTTATTTGTCACTTTTTCTGATAGTTTGCTAATGGTTAAGGCACGAATCTTTGCCATCTTTTGTTCTTGGTACTTTCGGCGGAGAGCCTGTAGAGCCAGAGCGTGTCTTCGTTTTCGATCCATCTGACGACTTATTACGACGGGATCGGCTCTTTTTCGTACACCAAATGCTACAAAGGGTTTTTCTGACGATGTGCCACATTTTGCTATATCGATGGGGCCGTGTTTCAAGGAGGTTTCGCTTTTAATTTCATGTACTTGGCCATTTGTGTCCACTATGGAGGCGGTATTGAAGAAGTTTAGATTAGCAGGTAAAACAGGAGTGCCTCGAAAGCACAGAAATGTTAAAAAATCTTCCGTATTTGGTCTTTTAATAGGAAGCAGTTCTACTGGTTCCGGTAAACCTTCAAGTTTTGGACTTTCAGCTTCGAGTTCTCGGATTGGCGTTATTACAGGACTATTTACATTTGAGCCCTGTGCAAATTTTCTCTGGGCATGTACTTTTGTCCTAAAATAAATTCAAAGATGAGATTCTTATCTATTAATAAACTAATACATTTAAATGAGTAGATTAAAACAGTTAAAACCTGTGTATTTTTGTTCTTTTTATTTTATAATAGAGAGTCATTGAAAACTAATAAATCTTTTATAGCTAAATGGTATATTCCTTTCTGATGAAAAATCTGAGCAATTGGGTGCTAGAAATTACAGAAGGCAAAAAAGAAAGCCAGGCAATAAAGAAAGTAACAGCATGTCTGTAAAATTAGCATATCCATTTTATACGGTCGAAGTCAGACCAAAACTATAATTGATTGCTAATTTATTACGGAAAGAAAAAAATTATTGCTCTAGCAATAGTTTCCGAGAAACAATAGAGAGTTATCAAGTAAAATTTTATCCTTCCGTTATTTTGACACGTAAACGCTATTTTTTACGCTATAAGTTTTAACGGAGATGTAATTTTAGAGTTGTAAAATGGTCGAATTGGTGCTTCACGTTAATAGTTGGCAGATGTCAGTCAAATGTCGTATGTGACAGCAAAATAATTAATTTTTTTTTACTCAAGGTATATTCTTGGTCAAGGTCTGGTTTTGTATATTTTGGGTTTCAAATTTTTTCTACAGAAATATGGAAGACACATAGAACAAGCAATATTAGTTGAAGCAAATAGAAGATTTAATACCAAATCATATTTTAAATGATAACATACAAAATGTCATTTTAAATGTCATAGTTAAAATAACTATTGAAATCACGTTTTGAAATTATGTCTAACACCGTACTGCGTCGCAGTATTTGTTCGGTTCTCGACCGTGTCAAATCAAACAATCATTTTGGCGTCTCTTGTTTTGTGTATAATCGTAAAAAGAAACCTAAAATGAAAAGCAGATTTTGGTGCAAAGAATGCAAGATTTTGGTCCAAAATAAATCCGTCTGTTTCTGCAGCTGATTTACTTGACTGCAATACTAATTTTAATTCTCTTTTATAGGATGTTCTAAAATTGTTATTTTTTTTTGTTACATATTCTTCATTCGCATCTTTGTTTACTTCTTGGAACTTTAAAATTAGAATGTCCATTGCCTCTTTTCGGGCGTTTCTATCGTTTTACCTTTAATTCGCCATAAACAATCTTGTTCTTTATATAATTCAAAAAACTCTTAAAAAATTCTCACTAACTCAAGCTATGTCGATTTTCTATATGATCAAAGCAAGTGTGTAGTTAAAAATGTATTTTTGCAGTATCAACAAATTGTAAACGGTCACACACGCTCAACAAATTGACGAGATCAACTCTGCAGTACTGCAGCAGACAGGCCAGTCTGTCTGCGGTCAAATTGTACGATTTCGTTGGATGCACGGTCACACACGATCAAAATCCTTGTCAATTCGTCGAACTGGACGAAGTTGAACAACGCCGCTGTATCGTGAGTGGCCGGCTTTAACGAATTGGTGCGATTCGCGGCTAACGTTAAGCCAGCCACTCACGGTCCAACGGTGTCGTTCGACAAAATCGGACAGCGGCGTTGTTCAATTTGTTGGCATATCTGGTGCGCCCACACACCGTACTGCGCCGCAGTATTTGCTCGGTTCTCGACCATGTCAGATCAAACAATCATTTTAGCGTCTTTTGCTTTGTGTATAACAAAGCGTACAAATAAACCTAAAATAAAACGTAGATTTTCCATCTTTTCAATACGTCACATGCGTGTAGGGATGGTGACCTGATCCCGTACCGGATACTTTGAAACATGTATTTTATTTATACTTGTGGAACTGATCCCTATCACCAATATAAACGAGTACGGGTCATGGACGTATAAATAAAGATCTTTATTTATACGTCCATGTTACGGGTACTGTACTCATAGTAAGTGTATGCATCTGGATGAAGTTAAAATTTATCTTAGCTTAATGTAATATGATATAAGGCATTTATATTCTAAATTGAATTGTATAAAGATCGTTTTATGGCAAATTTGAACAAAAAGAATAATGTATGTATATATATATATATATATTATATATATATATATATATATATATATATATATATATTAGTGGATTTTCTTGGGCTTAGGTTCATAAAAAAAATTGATTTGATACTACGACATTTTCATATATATTTCCGACGTTTCGGCAGGAAATCCATGCCTTTTTCAAGAAATAATATTGACTAAAAAAACATTTCATGATAGACATAATACGGTTTAAAATTTAAATTTTTGACTTACCAAGCATGTAAAAAACGGTACTAATAAGTAGACGTCACAATTAAAATAATATTAAAAACGTAGGACATACCCACTAAGTCACTACATGTAAAATGTATTTTAAATCTAATGTGTTTATTGATGTTGGTTTATCGTTTAAACAATCAGTTATTTTACATCATAGGCGTTCTGAGATTGTTTTTTATGTGTTTTTTAAATTAAGTTAAAATATATTTTGTTTAAATTTTTAACATCTTTTTTATCATTTATTGCATTGTTATTTTTTTTATTTGTAGACTCTAGAAGCTCTCTCTTCTTCTTGTTGGGTTCACTTTTTAGGATCTTGGTTTGTTCAAAATAAAATTTATGTTTTTTTTTTTCGTTTTCATGTTATGTGAGGGCGGTTTTTTTTTGTCATATTTGTGGGAACGTATTCTTGAGTTAAGTAGCTGACTGGTTTGTCCAATGTAAACTCCATCACAATTCGAGCAGGGAATTTCATATACAACATGCGATCTTTTTTTAGAGGGGTTTTCTAAAAACCTATAAATACATATATACCGAAGACAGTTCATTTCTAACAGAAATATTTCATTTGGAAGAACTTAAAAATTGTTTAAAAAATAATGACAACTCAGCTCCAGGAAAGAACAGTATTCACTATAGTATGCTATATAATTTACCTATTCAAACATAAATACAATTTCTGAATATAATAAACCATATATGTGTAAGCATGGAATTTCCAAACTCATGGAAAGAATATATTATAGTCCCAATTCTCAAACATAAACCAGCAGATTATTCGGACTCATACAGAGGCATTTCACTATCGTCATGTATCTTAAAAACATGATTAAAAAAGATTAGAATTTTGGTTGGAGAAAAAGTCCCTACTCTCTACAACGCAATTTGGATTCAGGAAATCATGCTCAACAATGGAAAACTTATCACACTTGATACTGGATGTCTATAATGCATTTTCTAAGAATAAATCAGTCGTGGCTACATTTGTAGACATAGAAAATGCTTATGATAATGTTAATTTATTAATACTACATCACCAAATGAGGAAAATAGGAATCCCAGATATACTGTGCTGGAAAATTTATAAACTGTACAGTAATAGAGTTTTGTATATTCAAATTGACAACAAACTAGTGGGCCCCAGAATTCCAAACACTGGGATACCCCAAGGAAGTATCCTAAGCCCAATATTATATGCTATTTATACTTCGGATATAGGTATTAAATAGTAATCAAGGTAAAGTACTACAGTTTGTAGATGACATATGTATTTACGTAGACCAAGAGGAGGTAGAAAATGGTTGCAACATGATAAATGAAGTATGCAATTATTTTCTTATGACTCGTATCAGTTAAATTTAACAATATCTGTAAAAAAACACAAGTTTGCATATTTTCCAGAAAACAAAAACTTCCAAAGTTAGTAAAAATACAAAACTTCAGTACAGTATTAAGTTCAACCTAAAGTTAAGTATGTGGGGATGATATTAGATAGAAAAATGAGCTAGAAAGATCATATTTAATACTTTGTGAGAAGAGCTGAAAAAGATTATAATGCATTACAAGCAGTAAGTCACATAACTTGGGGAGCAGATGCTAATATTTCGTTAATAATGTACAGATCATATATAAGATCAATTTTAGACTACGGATGCATATTTTACCAAGCTACCAAAACTCACTTAAAACAAGTACAAGTGTTATCAAATAAATGCCTTCGACTATGTATCGGAGATCTAATAAGCACCCCGACAGCTAATTTAAGTATAGAGTGCAATGAACCACCACTGCATTTAAGAAGAAAAACTCTAGGCGAAAAGTTTATAATTAAAACCATTGCTAAAGAGAGTTTAATAGTAGATAAGTGTCAAAAACTTTTTATACAGGATCTAACGACTGAATACTGGCAAAAAAACCTACTTTACTACTTATTGAAACCTACAAGAACTTGCGCTAATTTAAAAATAAATTATACCCATCAAGAATATCATCCATATTTCAAATATATCTAAATAGTATTCCTAATATACAGCCAATTTACATGAGAGATTATTCGAGTTTCCCAGAGAATCTAAGGAACTCTATGTTTAATACATATATAGAAATACTATGCCCAAAATATTATCATATTTATACAAATGCCTCAAAAATTAACTCTAAAGTTGCTGCTGCTATATGGGACCCTAAAACACACTACAGAGAAGGAATAGGTCTAGATACAGATACCACGGTATTTACAGGAGAACTAATAGCAATATTAAGAGCACTGCAGTACATATCAACGATCACCAATAATGATAAATTCGTGATCCTTTCAGATAGCAAAAGTGCTCTAAGTAAATTGGAGAAGTGGACAGAACATTATAATCATATCATTATAGAAATAATAAAAAACTTTATTGGACTCAAATCCAAAGATAAAGAAATATCATTCTGTTGCATAAAAACCCATTACAATTAAAAAAAAATAATGAAATTGTAGACAAACTAGCA